GAAGAAGGAGAAGGATGAGAAGGTGAAGGAGAAGGATGAGAAGGAGAAGGATGTGAAGAAGGAGAAGGAGAAGGATGAGAAGGAAGGAGAAGGAGAAGGTTGTAGAAAGAAATGATTCACTTAGATATAGGATGGTGAAGCAGAAGGATGAAGGATGAATGGGAGGGAGAAGGATGAGAAGGAGGAGGGGAGGGGGGGTAAGTGGGGTGAGACTAGAGTAGAAGGATGAAAGAAGAAGGATGAGAAGAAGGAGAAGGATGAGAAGAAGGACAGTTCTGTGACAGTCAACATTCACTGTCTATTTCTGACAGTTTCTGGGACATTCAATTTCCATACAGCGGTTTCAACCGCTGTATGAGGGAATGTCATGGAACTTGGATGTGATTGTCAGAAATAGACTATTAATGACAGTTCTGGGACTGTCCTTCCATGCAGCGGTTGAAACATTGTATGTAATTTGTTTCCATAAATGGATCCATTATGGAAACAAATACATACAATGTTTTCAACCGCTGCATGGAAGGACAGTCCCCCAGAACTGTCATTAATAGTCTATTCTGACAGTTCCATGACATTCCCTCCATACAGCGGTTAAAACAGCTGTATGTATTCATTTGAATGTCCATAAACTGTCATAAATGTCTATTTCTGATATATCTGGGACATTCACATCCATACAGCTGTTTTTATAACCGCTGTATGTAGGGAATGTCATGGAACTGTCAGAATAGACTATTAATGACGAGTTCTGGGACCTGTCCTTCCTATGCAGCGGTTTGAAAACATTAGTAATGTATTTTTTCCACTTCTATGGATCCTATTTATGAAACAAATACATACAATGTTTCAACCGCTGGCGTAGGATGGGAAGGACAGTCCCAGAACTGTCATTTAATAGACTATTAATGACAGTTCTGGGACTGTCCTTCCCATGCAGCGGTTGAAAACATTGTATGTATTTGTTTTCCATAAATGGATCCATTTATGGAAACAAATACATACAATGTTTCAACCGCTGCATGGAAGGACAGTCCCAAGAACTGTCATTAAAAGTGTTAGTCTATTTCTGACAGTTCCATGACATTCCCTCCATACAGCGGTTAAAACAGCTGTATGCAGTGAATGTCCCAGAACTGTCATAAAATAGTCTATTTTTCTGATAGATCGGGACATTCACTCTTTCCATACAGCTTTGTTTTCAAAAAACCGCTGTATGGAGGGAATTGTACGTCATGGACTGTCAAGAAATAGACTAATTAATGACAGTTCTGGGACTGTCCCTTCCATGCAGCGGTTGAAACATTGTATGTATTTGTTTCCATAAATGGATCCATTTATGGAAACAAATACATACAATGTTTCAACCGCTGCATTGAAGGACAGTCCCAGAACTGTCATTAATAGTCTATTTCTGACAGTTCTGGGACATTCCCCTCCATACAGCGGTTAAAACAGCTGTATGCAGTGAATGTCCCAGAACTTCATAAATAGTCTATTTCTATAGATCTGGGACTTCACTGCATACAGCTGTTTTAACCGCTGTATGGAGGGAATGTCATGGAACTGTCAGAAATAGACTATTAAATGACAGTTCTGGGACTGTCCTCACTTCCATGCAGCGGTTGAAACATTGTATGTATTTGTTTCCCATAAATGGATCCATTTTATGGAAACAAATACATACAATGTTTTCAACCGCTGCATGGAAGGACAGTCCCAGAACTGTCATTAATAGTCTATTTCTGACAGTTCCATGACATCTTTTCATCCATACAGCGTTACAGCGCTAAAACAGCTGTATGCAGTGAATGTCCCAGAACTGTCAAAATAGTCCTATTTCTGAAATAGAATCTGGGACATTCACTCCAATACAGCTGTTTTAAAAAAAAAAAACCGCTGTATGGAGGGAATGAGTCATGGAACTGGTCAGAAATAGACTATTAATGCTCGCGTTTGTGGACTGTCCTTCCAACAGGCGGTTGAAACATTGTATGTATTTGTTTCCATAAATGGATCCATTTATGGAAACAAATATACATACAATGTTTTCAACCGCTGCATGTATAGCGACAGTCCCACAACTGTCATTAATAGTCTATTTCTGACAGTTCCATGACATTCCCTCCATACAGCGTCTAAAACAGCTGTATGCAGTGAATTCCCAGAACTGTCATAAATCTAGTCTATTTCTGATAGATCTGGGACATTCAACTCCATAGTCCATACAGCTGTTTTTAACCGCTGTATGGAGGGAATGTCATGGGAACTGTCAGAAAATAGACTATTTAATGACAGTTCTGGGACTGTATAGGATTCATGCAGCGACGATGATAGAAACATTGTATGTATTTGTTTCCATAAATGGATCCATTTTATGGAAACAAATACATACAAATGTTTTTCAACCGCTGCATTGAAGACAGTCCCAAACTGTCAATTAATAGTCTAAACTTATGAAGTTCCATGACATTTCCCTCCATACAGCGTTAAAACAGCTGTATGCAGTGAATGTCACCAGCAGAAACTTGTCATAAATAGTCCTATTACCAGATCTGAACAGTTTTTTCTGGGTACATTTCATTCACTCCATACAGCGGTTTCCGGCAAAAAGTGTAGACTTGTGCAGAGTTCCTCTATTCTGCCGATACACTTAGATGAGCTCTGCAGAACACTTAGAGGAGCTCGCACATACACTTTTTTCCGGTTTGGAATTATTCTTATTTTCATCCTACTCTTCTTCTTCTTCTTCATTCCTCATCCTCCATCCTCTCTCTTCTTCTGAGGATGAGGATGAAAGAAGAAGAAGAAGTCACTGAAGAAGAAGAAGTAGGATGAAAATAAGATTATTCCACATGTGGCCGGCAAAAAGTGTATGTGCAGAGCTCCTCTAAGTGTATCTGCAGAGCTCCTCTAAGTGTATCTGCAGAATAGAGGAACTCTGCACAAACACTTTTTTGCCGCTTGGAATTATTCTTCTTTTCATCCTACTTCTTCTTCTTCTTCTTCTTCTTCATCCTCATCCTCAGAAGAAGAAGATGAGGATGAGGATGAGGAATGAGGAAGAAGAAGAAGAATGAAAAGAAGAATAATTCCAAGCCGGCAAAAAGTGTATGTGCAGAGTTCCTCTATTTCTGACAGTTCTCTCACAGCTTCTTCACATGTACAGCGGTTGAAAAATCTGTATCCTAAATGAGAAACTAATAGATAACAAATTGTATCTATTAGTTTTCCATTTAGGATACAGATGTTTTCAACCGCTGTACATGTGAAGAAGCTGTGAGAGAAACTGTCAGAAATAGAAGGAACTCTGCACATACACTTTTTGCCGGCTTGGAATTATTAGCGATCTTTTCATCCTACTACATCTTCTTCTTCTTCTTCTCTTCTTCTCTGTCTTCTTCATCCTCAATCCTCATCCTCTTCTTCTGAGGATGACGCGCTGAAGAAGAAAAGTAGGATGAAAAGAAGAATAATTCCACAGCCGGCAAAAAGGTGTATGTGCAGAGTATTCCTCTATTTTCTGACAGTTCACTCACAACTTCCTTCACATGTACAGTGGTTGAAACATCTGTATCCTAAATGTAAACTAATAGATACAATGTTTCAACCGCTAAACATGTGTGTTCCTTCTGTCAGAGAACTGTCAGAAATAGTCGGAGCTCACTGCAGGGACACTTTTTTGCCGGCTGATCGGGAAATGTTCGATTCGCAGCACTGAACCCCGAAGTAGTGCAAAATTTCGGATTTTCGACACGAATCGAATAATTTCCTGAAAATTCGTCGACTCGAATTCCGGTTTCGCCTAGTTCGATTCGCTCATCTCTACTTAGGACCAAAGCTAAATTTTTAGACAAGAAAATGCTAATTAACAAGAATTCAACTACAGGTGAGTCTAATTTTTTCATTAAACAGGTGTCCAGCAGACAGTTGCAATTATAAACTATATAACTAAACAAAGAATCCCCCATTCCCATTTCATGTCTATCAGCAAATGGCAAACCACATGGAAGAGAAAAGTGAAGGTGGTGACAGTGTCTTTCTGTGGGGATACATGAGTGCTGCTGGCGTCAGGGAGCTGCATTTCAATGATGGTATAATAAATTCACAACTGTACTGCTCTATATTGAAATAGAAGATGCTACTATCACTCCGTGCCCTTGATTGTTGTGCACTTTTCCAACATGACAATGACTGTTGCATTTATGCACTTATGAAAGTAATTCAGTGGCCAATTATGTTTCCTGATCTGAACCCAATGAATCACCTATGGAGAATTCTAAAGAGACAAGTTGAGCATCACTCTCCATCCAGCATGCAGGCTCTAAAAGAGGTTGTTCTTGAAGAATGGAAAAATACCGATGTTGTAATATGTATCCAACTTGTTCAGTCCATGCCTAGAAGACTTGGTACTGTCCTTACAAATCATGGAGTTCATACAACATATTAGATGTAGTAGTTTTTGTTTTGAGATGTATTCATTTTTTCATCAACTAATTTTAGTAAAACTGAAGATTTTGTAATTAAGTTATATTATTAACCTAACTTTAATGATCTAAACAAATATTTTATAAAACTCAGTTTTGTCCAAATTTTGAAATTGTTCTTGTGTTCTTTAAGATATTGACTAAAATCTTACTTTTCAAAAGGGATGTACTCATTTATGCTGAAAACTGTATCAAAAACCAATAATGTGAAGCAAAAATAGATGTAGTAGCAAACACCCAGCTGACCATCAAACCCGTGCGTCAATCAATCCTCTTTAAACTCAAAAATATGTATTAAAATACAAATAAAAGAATAAATACCAGGGTGACCATCAAACCCATATAGGGCGACTAGTGCAAAATAAAATCAAATAAATTAAATATAACATATGTGGTACTGATATGTTCAAAAGAAATACCCCCCTATTGGTAAAGTCCCCAATCTACATAAAAATAAACATCCGGCTGACAATCAAACACATTCAGGATGAAAAAATGTGTGCAAACATAAGTAGATGGTGCAAAAAAAAAAAAAATATTAGTCCATATAGTAAATGACTAGCAATTTTCAGTCCTTAAGTGAAATGACTCTTTCGAAACAATCTTTCCACCACGGTGCTTATCCACTAACTTTTTTTTTTTACCTATATGGAAGTGACATTACCACACTTCCGTCCAACATGTAGTGTCACAGGTCACTTCATCAGGAATTCCTGATGACCCATGATGATACGCTTTGGACGGAAGTGTGGTGATGTCATTTCTGGAGCGCCGGTGGAAGCCGCCATTTTACCTCTCTGTGTTTACATGTTGCATCTGGGTTTTGTGCGCCCACAATTTACTTCATTAAAACAATTTTGCACTATGGGTTTTCTCTGCTTTTTATCCTATGAGCAATTGTGGCACAAACAATTGAGTTGATTCACTGGAGGCTACACTTTTCTATTTCAACGGTTTTTATTAATTTTTTGAAACAGTATAAAACAGAGGCAATAAAACACGCCCACGCAGGGGCTATCAATTGCACAGATTAAAAAAAAATGCAAAAAAAAAAAAGGGGAAAGACAGTGCTCCAACGCCAACAGGGCAAAAAGTACGCCCACGCAGGGGCTATCAATGGCACATAAGCTACAAAACAATAATGTAACTGACTATAACAACTAAAGGCAGCTGTCCAGTCACACCAAAAACAGAGAGAGAGAGAAAGGAAGAGAGAGAAAAAAAAAAAAAAGGGCAAAGGGCAGGGGTCCAAGAGCGCCAATACCGAATGCCATTACATCCCCAGACTAGCGGGGGGAGTGTGGGAAAGGCATATTGCAACCACGGCTCCCATATTTTCAAAAATTTACGTTGGGAGTCGATGCGGATACTCGACATCTGTTCGTTGAGCATCATAGTGGTCATACGATCCCGAACCCCCTGAAGAGGGACAAACAGATTCTTCCAGGCCTGAGCAATTGTTCTAGTGGCCGATAAAAACAAATAGGAAGCCAACTTCTGCTGATGAGCCAAGAGGCCCGGTATGGGGCAATGAAGCAAGGCATACCGAGCATCCCGGCATATGGAGAGATGGAACAAGGTGAAAAGGAGGCCAAACACGCGAGACCAAAAACGAAACAGTCTCGGGCATGACCACCAGATATGCAATACATCTCCACGATGGCCACAACCCCGAAAATATTGATCACTACAGGCAGGGTTAGCCCGGGCCAACCGAGCTGGAACCCAATACCAACGAAAACAATACCTTATAGGCTGCCTCCAGTGTGGTCGTATTAAATGGGCATTTAGCTATGAGTGACCAGGCCTTATTCCAGTCCTCCGGATCCACAGCCACTCCAAGGTCACGCTCCCACTGAACAACATATGAAAGAGAAGTATGCAACGAGTGTCTGTTCAGAGCTGCATAAAGAAGGGATATAAGGCCCGGAGCGCCCGGACGCTGTTGGCAAAGCTGTTCAAAGGCAGATTTCTGGTACGGGAAAGCAGAAGTGCCCTGCAGCGGGAGCAGCCAGTGTCGCAATTGAATGTATCAAAAGAATTCTGCCGAGGGGACATTCTGGGATTCCTGAAGAGAGTTCCAGGTGGGAAAAGACCGAACAATCAAAAAGTCTCGCACCTGCGAAAAACCATTAGTAACCCACCAAGAAAACGCCCTTGGGTGATCTAAACCCGGAGGGAAAAGAGGGTTGTTAATAATTGGGAGCAAAGGCAGAAAAGGTGACATCAGGCCACCAGAGTAACGTACCGAGTCCCAGACTTGTAAGTCATGAAGTAACATCGGACTCAGTGCCATAGGGCGCAGGACAGGGGGAAGCCATAGAAGCGTCGACGTTGCGATAGGGGCACAATTAGGTAGTTCCAACAGGACCCAGACGGGAACGTCGGAAGAGGCATGCAACATAGACAGCGGGGCAATCTGGCTCACCTGATAATACTTAGTTACATTAGGCACCCCAAGACCACCCTGGAGTCTATGAGCAAAAAGCGTATTTCTGGATACTCTGGGGTGCTTATCGGCCCAGATAAAATGCATAAACATCGCCTGAAGCAACCGAAGAAAATAAGGGGAACCCGTACTGGGAGTGTGCGAAAATAATACAACAATTTCGGCAAGATGGTCATTTTCATAGAATTAACCCGTCCTATCCAAGACAGGTGCGGAAATTTCCAAGAATGCATAAGAGAGGATAGAGAGCTAAGCAATGGATAATAATTTGCAGCAAACAAGGAGTCATAAGTGGGGGTCAAGTGAATGCCTAAGTATTCAAGAGAAGAGGAAGCCCATTTGTAAGGGAAGTGGGATTGTAGGCGCGAAACCAAATCTGAAGCCAAAGTAATATTGAGGGCAACAGTCTTATCCAAGTTGATACGGAGACCCGAAATCAAGAAGAAGCGCTCAAGAACCCGTTGCAAATTAGGAAGCGTCGTCAGGGGGTTAGTAAGAGTCAGGAGGGCATCGTCCGCAAAAAGGTTCAGCTTAACCACTTCCCGACCGGCCGTTGTATATAAACGGCCGGACGATGGCACTGCAGGGTCGGGTGGCCGTCTATAAACGGCCTCCCCGCACCCTGCTTGTGCGCGCTCCCTGGGAGCGCGCAGCACCGCGATCCGGTGCCCGCTGTGTCCTCCGGACACAGTGAAACACCGATCGTCGGACGGGACCTCTGTACGAGGTCCCGATCATGTGATCACTGATTGGCCAATCAGTGATCACATGCAAAGTAGTAAGCAAGATGTCACTTCTGACATCATTGCTTACTGTGTGTGAAATCTGTGAATGATCACAGAGGTCACATGGTACAAGGCTATTCACAAAAGCCTTGTACCATGTGACAAGCTGTGACCAATCACAGCTCACTCTGTATTTCTCAATGAGTGCAGGAATGCACACAGAGAGAAAGAGAAATGATTGCTTTTACACCCTATATGGGTGTAAAAGCAATCAGTGTAAAAAAAAAAAAAAAAAAAATCTTTATCACCCCTCACAAGTAGTACAGTGTCACCATGGTGACACTGTACTGCTAGGGTGACAGTATGTAAAAAAAAAAAAATAAAAAAAAATAATATAAAAAAATAAAATAAAAATGTAAAAAAAAATGTTTAAAAATTATAACTTTTGCTTATAAACTAATTTGGATTTTTTTTTTTTTACTAAAAAAGATAACGGAATAAATTTTGGCTAAGATTTATGATGAAATATTATTTATTTGCAAAATTTTATAAAAAAAAACACTTTTTTAAAAATTTTTTGGACATTTCATTTACATAGCAAAAAAAAATACAAATCCCAGTGGTGAATAAATACCACCAAAATAAAGCTTTATCTATCTAAAAAAAATGGTAAAAAATTCATTTGGGTACAGTGTTGCATGACCGCGCAATTGTCATTCAAAGTGTGATAGCGCTAAAAGCTGAAAATTGCCCTGGTCAGGAAGGGGGTAAAAGTGTCCGGTCTGGAAGTGGTTAAACTCCTGTCCCGCGTAAGGAAACCCGGATACATTGCAATCGGTCCGAAGCGCTAAAGCCAGCGGCTCAAGCGCCAGGACAAAGAGCGCTGGGGACAGGGGGAAACCCTGTCTCGTCCCTCGCCCAATAGGAAAAGGATCTGAAAAATGGAGGCTACACTTTTGACATTTCTACCAGATGCTACAGGAACAGTTGGAGTGACTGTGGGTATCATACACAGTGCTGTTTTTGACCTGTATAACATATAGGTCAAAAAAAGAAGGTGATCAGGCATGCTTGGTGGTGGATGAGCACCGTGGTGGACAGATTTGAAGAGTTATTTCACTTGGGGACTGAAAATTGCTAGTCATTTATTACTATGTTTATTTTTTCATCCTGAATGTATTTGATTGTCAGCTGGGTGTTTTAATGTATTATTTATGCACGTAGATTGGGGATTATACCGATGGGGGGTATTTATTTTGAACATACCAGACCTACTTATGTTATATTATTTAATTTATTTGATTTGATTTTGCACTATTCATCCTATAGGGGTTTGATGATCAGCCAGGTGTTTATTCTTTAATTTTTTTAATTGTGTTTATTTAGTGTATTCTATACACAGTTGTTATTTAGTGCTCATGCACTATATTTTAATATATATTTTTGGGTTTAAAGAGGATTGATTGACACACTGTTTGACAGTCAGCTGGTTGTTCGCTGCTACATTATTATTATTATTATACAGGATTTATATAGCGCCAATAGTTTGCTCAGCGCTGTACATTATAATGGGAGACAATACACGAGACAGTACAGTAACAATACAATTCAATACACGAGGGGTTTGAGGGCCCTGCTCCTTGGAGCTTACAATCTAGGAGGGAGGGGATAGTGGTACAGGAAGAAATAGCTGTGGGGGATGGAGTGGTAGGAGGAGTGGAGGAGTTCAGTAATTAGCTGAGGGCGGGGTAGGCTTCCCTGAAGAGATAGGTTTTCAGGGTGCGCCAAGGTGAGGAGAGTAGGTGATAGTCTGATGGATTGGGGTAGGGAGTTCCAGAGGATGGAGGAAGCCCTGGAGAAGTCCTGGAGACGGGCATCGGAGAAGGAGACCAGGGAACTAGAGAGTAGAAGGTCTTGTGAGAGTATTTGGATACCAGATTGGTGATGTAGTTTGGGGCAGTATTATGAACAGCTTTTTACGTCAATGTTAGCATTTTGAATTTTATCCGCTGGGCAATCGGATGCCAGTGGAGGGATTGGCAGAGGGGGGTGGCGGATACGGAGCGGTTTGTAAGGTCTACTATTCTTTTTGTTATCACACACAGTAATCAGACAATCCAAATTCATCAATACATTTCCCTTTTTATCATTATCAAAAATACTCTTGTTAGAGCTCATTTCACTAGTAATTGGCAGGGCAGTGTCTGGAGAGGAATTACCCACAGTGGAGTGGGCATCTCCCATGGAAACGTCACTATTCACCGACTCCACTGTCACAAAAGACTCTGCCAACAACTGTCCTGATGCCAAACCATCCTTACATAATTCTACATTTGGGTAGACGACCCCAACCACATCACATATACATGTGTCTTCCGGCACTTCTGTCCTGTCCAACAGTACTCTGGTGTGCCTTTCATACAGATTACTGCTATGAAGCAACCCAGCAATGCACTGAAAGACAATTTTCACCATTACCATCACAGAATTCCTATATTGACCATCTTTGTCTTGTATAACCTGTAATACCCAGCTCCAATTAGCGGTACTCTGCTGTACCAGCTCCCCTGAACACAGAAGAGACCGCAAGGTTTACACCGGCTGTACACTCCAGAAGGCCAACATTTCCCTCAGCAGGTCTGACAGCCCGATTCTACACATAAGACCTTCCTGGAGACATTGAGACACTCATTTACTGATGCCTCAGAGGTGGTGCTTCCTAACAAGGCTTCCTCTCTGCTGGAGGTACCCAACACAATAACCTGGGGCTCTCCCAGAGCGTAACCAGGTGTGGGATTCACCCAAATACTCTGAGGCTCAGTGTCAATGAGCTCTTCCACATCTTCTCTATGGATATCAATTTGGTATACCACACCATTAATTCTTTTATGGGCTGTGGGCAGAACTTCTGCTGAGCGTTTATCCTCAACGGTGCCTCTTACCAGCGGTGGGTTATTTTTGGCAGCGACAGGAGTGCCCTGGACTAATAGCTGCTCCACAGTCCCTCTATTCAGCACAGCAGAAGTCGTGTCCACTCCATTGTTGGCAACAGAGGCCCCTTTTAACAAAGCCAACAGGTTTTCAGCCCATCTGTCCCAGTCCATCTTCCCTGTGATCCCATCAACCGCTGAAGGAGACACAGAGGGACAGAGTGGCTCTGTATCACACCCATTACCTATATCTTCATTATCCATATCACACTGTGAGACTCCTTTTCTAGGCACAGCAGGTTGCAATTTCATACTCTCACCACCGTGACCTAGTGGCGTGTCATTCACTACAAAAACTTTTGCATTAGTGGATTGCATTAACCCATCATCATTATGAATACATTCATACCTTTTAGATTCACCATTGCCACACTGAAATAAATTCTCATCACTCAATTCAGATACACTCTGGTCCACCAGAGCAACACCATAGTTATCCTGGGTTACCTTAACCACCGTTGCTAGGGGAGATAACATATCCTGCTTAGTGGTCACCCCTACTACATTTAATTCAACATTCTGTTTATATGACATTGGTGCAACATTAATATCAGTACTCTTCACATTGACATTTTTAACCGTTGCCTCCCCACTAAAATCATTATACAGAGGCAAGTCTCTCTCACAATCACCAGCAGTGGGTTTCCCAACTGGGAGTATCCCATATTTATAGCAGAGAGTCTCAAAGTCAGTCTCAATCAGTGCATTAGTATCTCTCACATTTATCTCAAAAGTACCAGTCTTACCCACCACTGTAACAGGCTTCACCTTCTTCACTTGAGTGCGTGGGATCTGGATCCTTTCTGTCATCTCCTCTGCTTGGCTTTGGCCAGCCAGTTCATCCATGCAGCTATAGGATGATACTGTGGCAGGCACTTCTGACTCCTTGGCACCCCCTGCAGGCACAACAGGTACTTCCTCACTGTTGCTAGAGGTGGCTGCCAACATTTTTAAACATGAATCTGGGCTTGCAGATGAAGACTTTTGCCCAGTAGCACCCTCATCAGTGGTATTCCATAATCTGGGGCAGGTAAAGATACCACGCCCAAACTGACCACATTCCAGGCAGGGTATGGTTCCACTGATAACCTTCTTGGGATACGGAACCACATCTCCCTTGTAGCCCCTTCTCCTGGTTGGCAGGCTTTCTCATGTTGCTATGGGAGATGGCACTCTCCCAGCTGAACTTTGTGGGTTCCTCCAGATGCGCTGAACTCTCATCTCTGCGTTGCCACAATCCTCTGCAGACGACACTTCTCTCACAGGGTCCGCAGGCCTGAAGTCACATGTGTTGCTATGGGCAACCACATTCTTCTGAAACTTTTGGGCAGCCTGCTGCTCCTTCCTGGAACTACAAGCAGGCTTCCCAATTGCATACCCAGACCTTTGGTTGTGTCACCTTGCACTTGAAGCTGGGATAAAGGGCACTTGGAGACAGTGTGCCCCCATTCACTGCACCGCAAACAGCGCTCTTGCGTCAGTATCTTGGCCAGACTTCCAACACTGCATTCTCTTTCAAGCATTGTACTCTGCACATGGAAAGCTGGTTTCCTTTCACCAGTGTTGCCTGGGGCAACAGCAGCAGTTTCCAACTGTGGCAACCTCTGTTCAAACATGTATGGGGCTTTTTCTGGTGATAACAACCCCTCCAGCCACAGGGCTCTGTCTCTCATTTCAGAAAATCTTGCTTCTTTTTTGAGTTTTGACCGCCCCATCTTTGCAGTCACTCCACAACACTTTTGCATAGTCCAGCAACCAAGACCTGAAGCACTGTCTCTTTAAGGCAAGTTCCTTTTGTCTTGCAGGTTGTTCTCACCTGCACACACAGATAGTGCAGAGTCATGCACCAAACACAGTTCAACAAATGAACTTACTTCCTTGCTGGGATCTCTAGTTCTGCCCGCATCCTCCACCATATGTGGGAACTCGCTTCAAAATGGTAGAGCTTTTCTTGTTATCGCACACAGCAACTCGCTTCTTTAAGGGCTTTTTTGCCCACTTTTATTTAAAAGAAAAAAGTTTTCCATAAACAAAAATGCTTCCCACGCAGGGGTATTCACCATCAAGCAAATTAAACAGTATTCA